AATAAAAAAACGAGAACACAGAATGTTGCTAGCATACAGAAGGAACTCTTCAAAGCAAGTGCAGGGTTATACTCAATCACCTGAAAAGTCTGCAAAATGCAGATTCAGAAGTCCTATTAGTTGAGTCAGATTCATTCTGAGTGTTGCCTAGGGATTTGTATATAAAAAGCTTCCAGGTGACTGGATTACATATTACTTTCTAAAGTAAAAATGCCTAGCTTCAAAGCTCAATGTAGCCTCTTACTGTCCGAAGCCACACGGAAGCTTCCTAATTCTACACCCTTAGCTCACAGTTCATTGAAGTCTCAGACACTCTCATTACCATATTACACCCAGAGTAGTAGCTTTTGGGTTAAAAGCACCCTAATCATGAGATTTATTCTTGAACAACAACAACAAAAAGCCTAGAACATGGTGGGGCACATCTGTAATCCCAGGATTTGGGAGGCCAAGGCAGGTCAGCCTGGGCTATAAATTCCAGGCCAACCTGAATTACATACAGTAGTAAGACCCTGTCTCAAAAATCCAAAAAGCCTACAACTCACTAGAAGTTTGATTCTGATGATGCATTTCCAGGGCAGTTAATTCAGACATCCAGAGAACTAGAACTCCCCTCTTTACTCAAAAAACACTGCTAATTATAATCAGTATTAAATTATCTATCTCAATTTTTATCCCAAATTTAAGTCTCTACCAGTATAGTAACTACTTTGAATGTGCGCTTTTTAAAGTATAGGTGTTTTAGAAACAACAGTTGAAATTTTTTGAACTGTTGGGAGGAACACAATGAAGAGCTGAATTCATTAATAGGAAGCTCTTCCACTCCAAAACATTTACACTAAAAGTTTTTTTGGCAATTATAATTCCTTCAGTGTAAATGGCCTAAACTGTAATATTGTGCAATGATGCAGTCAAATTAAGGGTTCAGAATGTTAATGCAGATGTGATTTTCTATCTTTGCAACTGCCCCATCTTTTACTGAAAATTGTTTTAATTTATAAAATTTGTAAAGCTGGGTAAGAACAGAATATTTCACCAATTCTAAATGTTACTTTCAACATTAGATTCATTTTCATACTTTCATATAAGTTTAAAAATAAAACTAACATTCCCAAAACATTTATCCTCTTCTCCACTAAATTTATTTCATATACGAAGATGAGCAAGAAAAGCAAAAAGAACCTTACAGCCCTGAAAAATCCGATTACTACCTTTTCTCACCAAATTTTACTTTCTGACTTCCTCTTCAAAGTTGCCATTTCTTATTTTTAGAAAAAGCTTATTTAGTACTTTTGGACTCAGTCTCAAACTCTATCCTCCCACCTCAGCCTCCAAAGCGCTGAGATTACAAGGCATTCATTACAAGTGTGCACGGGGTATCGTTTTTGTATTTCAACTTCAAATACTGTGTGAAGAAATCCAATGAGATCATCCATTACTGCTGCTCTTCTTCCAGTGTAATGTTAAATAATATTCTCTAACCCAAGCTACACCAGCCAATATTTCCCTAAAAATGTCTATACAATGTACCCCTCTCACTTGAGAAATTAGTTAAAAAACCAAAAACTCACTATTAGCTAATTCTGATTATACTCAGGGTGAATTATATTCATCAGCCTACTAGAGGGTAAGAGGGTAAGAAGTATTTGAAAATTCAAGAGGTTCCCAGCTTTAGTTGACATTAAAGCTTGGAAAGATGGGCCAATTTTGCTTAAAGTGCTTTCTAGTTCTTCCTACCACACACAAAAGCAATTACAGATGGATTGCTGATCTAAATATGAAAGGTTAAAAAAAAAGTATCTTGGGGGGGGGACACCTTCCACACCTCCAGGTGAGTAAAGATGTCTTAAATAGGGCAGAAAAACAGCTAGTCTTTTTTTTTTTTTTTAGTTGAAACTGTCTCACTCGAGGCTGGCCTCAAACTCACAGCCATCCTCCTCCTGCCTCAGCCTCCAAGTGCTGGGATTACAGGGGTGTGACACCATGTTAGGCTTCTAGTCATTAAAAAGAAAAATAATAAATTGGGCTTTCTAAAAATCCTCATGATACTGTAAGTATGAAAAAGGAACCTGCACAAAATATTTCTAATACACATCTGAAAAACTAAAAGTGGTAGATAGGACAGTTAGATCCAACTGGCAGAGGGCTTGCCTAGCATGTGCAAGGCCCTGGGTTAAAAAAATGCTATGAAAAAAAATGTTCATTCAATCCCATACACCCAAAATGAACCCCCAAAAGGTCCCCCATACTCTTGTAACCCATCTCTCCTTTCATCCCATGGTCAGGTAATGACTAGGCTTCTGTCAGATTAGTTTGGATTTTCTAGAGTTTACTGAAATAAAGGCTTACACCTGTGCTTTTGTCTGGCTTCTTTCATCCATCATAACTGTTTACATTGTTATTTATTCATATCTTGTATGTATCAATGGTTCCTTCTTTTTTCTGGGTAGTATTCCATTATATGGATGCATAACACTCTCTATCATCTGCCAGTTAATAAGAGATTTGTTTCCAGTTGGGAGGTAACTACAAAGTTGCTATGAGCAGCACCACTGAGCTAAATCCCCAGCCCTTGTCAAGGTTTTTGAGACGGGGTCTCACTGTAATTCAGGCTGGCCTCAACCTGCTATCTTCCTGCCTCAGCTTCCTTTACTGCTAGGATTACAGGCCATGCACTACACAGAGATGTCTCTCAAGTTTTGATGTCAAAGTTATGCTAACCACAAAAAGATCTGGGAACTATGTTCACCCTATTTCTTGGAAAATACTGCAATATTAATGATTTTTTTCCTTAAATGTTATCACACTCTAGGTGAAATAATCTGGACCTCGAGTTTTTGTGAGATTAATGACTATGCAATTGTTAGAGGACTATCTTGTTTTCCATTTCTTCCTGCATCAGTTTTAAAAAGGTATACTGCTAGATACTGTTCTGCATCTTTGCTATTATCTGCAGTTATGTTCTTTGGATAGCTGAGGTATTCAGCCTTTTTTTTTTTTTTTGGTACCAGGGATCTAACTCAGGCTGGCCTCAGGCTCCCCTCGTGGGGAACTTCCAGCCTCAGTCTCCATAGGGATGGAATTATAGGCATGCTGTGATTACAGACGTGTGCTACAACCCCCGGTATTTGAGGTCTTCAGTCTTAATTCTTTCTGTACCCTTTTGCTTAACTTGCTTCATAAACAGATTTACTTGTTTATTTTAACCCAGTCTGTTAATCTGTTTAACCATGAGCTTTATAATCTATTCACATTTTTAAAGAACACTGGGGGGGGTACAGGGATTTAGGTCCTGAATTCGATCCCCGGTACCAAAAAAATAAAGGACACTGGAGGCAGGTTGTGAAGCAAAAACCATAAATAAGGACTTTCTGGTTTTCAAATTTTTGCTATTTAAAAACAGAAGGCTAATGGGTTAGGGTCAAAAAGTATTAAGCTTCCGGGCTGGGGATTTAGCTTAGTGGTGCCGAGGCCCGCCTGGCAAGCGCAAAGGTCCTGAGTTCGATCCCCAGTGCCAAAAAAAAAAAAAAAAAAGTATTGCGTTTCCCCGTGGTTATGAAAAAGTAACTTCTTCCTATGATATATATAAAAGGCTTAGAGCTGTGCCTGGCACATAGTAAGCTAAACATCCTAAGTGTTGCATGAAACTTAAAAAATGAAGCCTGTTACATTTTTTGCTACCAAGATGGTTTTTTCCTACAATGCAGGCATTCAAGAAATTAATAGTAACTGCCTTTCCCGACGTGCCTTAAAATCTCGGCACCACGTGGCCGCCCGGATTCTCTCCTGCAGTAGCTTTTGTCAGGGGTCGGCTGCAGGCACAGCCAACATTCCATTGGCTCACACCCTGGGGCCAGGCTCTCCGCAGGGCCCTGGAACTCACTGGTCAAAGCCTTTGAAAGAAGCGGGCCACGCCGCTCCCTCCGCCACCCTCCCCGCACTTGTGCGCAGCGGAGCCCGAGGAAACCGGTGGAGAAGCAAAGGAAGGCAAAGGGTTGCTACCGGTAGGACTGCCGCCGGGAACAGGGCCCAAGCGTCCTCAGTATAGCCTGCGCTTTTCTAGGCGCTTGGTTAGATTCCCACAGCAAGACCACTAAAAGGGTTCCCTCGCGCGATCTAGGAAGCTCACTCGCACGTGACTGCCGGCCGTGCGAGGGGGGCTCCTTATCCTCTGGTTCAGCTTAAGGCGTTAAAGGTATTTTGTCCTGGGCCTCCGTCCCGTGACCTCAGGCAGACCTCTCCGCACTTCGCAGTTCTCGGGCGGAGAAAACTCGGTTGCGCTTCCTCCTCCGACTCTCGGACTCCGTAACAGGTTACACGACCCAAGGTCAAGAGATTCAGAGCAAAAGTTCCGCGGTTCTGCGGCCTCTCCCTGGAATCCTGCGGTCCGCCCACCTCCTCGAAAACGCCCGGTGCAGAGAGCGTCCGGGCGGCGGAGAGGCTCAGGTACTGCGACATGGCCGCTCCCGCCCAATTCGCGCCGCCCGGGCACCACGCGCTGTCCGCCTCGTCGGTGGCTGGAGGCCTGCTCGCCAGCCCCTCCCCGGGACGCAGAACCCTGCTCGGCGCCCGCGGCGCAGAGTCCCGTTCGCTCCCCCTTCAAGAGACGGGCACGCCCGAATTAGCGCCTGACTTAGCCGGCCGAGCCACACCTGCCTGCCCGAGGCGCGGTCCTCACCCCGGGGCCCTGGCCGCCAGTTACCCAGCGAAGAGCCGGGAGGCGCCGCCCTGCGGAGACGCCACCTGAACACGCGGCCGCGCCCGCCTCCTCCCCTCCCCCAGGGCACAACCGCCGGGCGGCGGCGGCGGCGGCGGCGGGAGAAGCCGGCTCTCCCTCCCGGGTGGACGCGGCCGCTTCCCCCCAAACCGCATCCTCCACGGCCGCCCACGGGTCCGGCCCACCCGAAGGCTGAGGCAGCCGCCCCCTGCTCGAGTCTGGTGCCCACAGGCGGCGACGACCCTTAGGCCCAGGTTTGTCGCCCGGAGTCCCGGGCACCCACCTCGGGATAGTGCGAAGATCCCCAGATCCCTGGCTGGCGTCGGGTTGCTGACGGGAGAACCAAACCTCCAGCAGCTTCTCGGTCCCTTCGAAAAAATGTGCAGCTTCCATCACCGTGAGACTTGCGAACAACCAACAACCACAGAAAATCAACTAAATTAAATCTCTTCTCCCGCCGCTGCCGCCGCCGCTGCGGATTGTTCCAGACGTGTTGCTATAAAGTTCAGGTTCCTTTTTTTGCTATAATTTTATATTAACTTTTTTAAAAAAAGGATTAATAAAATTTTCCCGGCTTTTTTGTTTGAGCGAAAGTTGAACGTGAGTCTGTTTGGAAATAGAGGCAGATACAGTTCAGTCTCTTGTAGTCCGCTGCTTTCCCGTTAGAGAGAGTAGAGCGAGCGCTAGCTAATGTCGCCGGCCATACTGTGTAAGCGAGGATGGTGCGTGAGCGCAGGGCCTTATATATGATGTCTCTTCGAAAGGCCAGGAAGTGACGTAGTCTTCCCGCCCCCCCCCCAGATTCATAGGGGCATTCCCCTGTCAATCCATCCCCGAAGAACGGCGACTGGCTGGCGGTGGGCCTACGGGGAGTGCCGGGAACTACCCGCTGCGGTGCGGATGGAGCTATCGCTGTCCCCTGAGCGGGAGACTGCGCTGTGCTATCCGGCCGGGGACTAGGAACCTGGGGTTGAATCGGAGTGGGTGGGGAGAGCGAGAACGGAGTAAGGAGAAGCTGTATGGCGCTACAGAGAACCACTGGTTAGGGAACATGTGTGCGTCCTTAGGGGGCTCGGCGGGCCTCAGCGCGGGGTTGGCGATGTGGTTGTGATCCTGTGCAGTTCTCCGCGACTGCTGAGGGACTTGGCCATTCTTGGAAGTGTTTCCCCGAGGCGAACACAGCCAAGGCATTAAAACTCACCATTTGTCCGTGACGTACACGTTACGGGGGTAGAATTAGATAGCACTTTAATTCCGCTCACGCGTTATCTGATGTGCAAACAAACGCAGCTCTCGACCTGTTTGCACAATAGCCAGAAGCGTTGACTCCCTATTTCAAAAGGGAAAGCAACGTGGCGCTGGGCCTGGGAGGGCTCTGGCTCTACCTACCTCCCACCATGCCCCTCACCGAGGCTCGGAATTGGCTGAGTTCAGCAGCACCCCTGAGGTCAACGGGCGGGAATCGGTTCTGTGAAACTAATTCTAGAGACTAGATTTGTAATCTGAGGTTATTTGATAATATATCTTTTAAATTGTTTTAAACAGACGAACTAATTGAGAGCTGTTCCTCCCAACCCCCCAAATTTACAATGCTATCACCTCTCTCTTAAGGAGGATTCACATGGAAATTAACATAACAGGGATTCCAGACCTATCACTAATAGTGATTTCAAGAATATCAATCTAACATTTCACTAATTAACAAAATATAAAACAGTTGTAGTCAGTTTAATTTGGGGTGGCAAAACTGCAGTAACAAAGTTATGGTTTACTCGGAAATACTGGAGAAAAAAAACCCAGCCCGATATAAAAACTACCATTTTCACCAGACAAAATGATTTGCCTGTTATCCTTAGGAGGGAGGAAAAAAAAACCAAAAAATTTGCCTCAATGTGAAATAGGTAGTGTCAGCATGAAAAATATACTGAAAAGGACATGGTTAGAGTCTGCCCTGTAGATAACCTGCTGGGTAGTACTTGTCTTTCAGAAACATGGGCTCACCTGTCTCCATGAAACCTGTTGAAAGAAGCTATGTTGTGAGTTGCTACATATACTTCATTTGCCGTGTTTTTAAAGCCTCCAACTCACGTTGGGGATTGGGACAAAAAATAATAAATGTTGCTCATTTTAATAAAAGAGGATGTGGTTGTTATACTTGGAATAAAGATAAAAGGAGTATTTCTGTGTTTTACAAGCTATTCATTTATTTGATGGTTGCTTATAGAAATGAAAGATCTGCCTACTAAACCACCTCAAACACTAATTGGGGTATAAACATAATTTGGCTTATAATTGCTTATAATTAGTTGTGTTTCAATTACTATTATGATTTTTCCCAATGTAATTTAAGTTACTATAAAAGTGCCAAGAATCTTGGCAAGGTAATTCTTTGGTAATTTGATATAGGATAATTTAAATAGTACCTATGAACTGGATTGTTCCTTTGTAAAATATGTCATTTTTCTTAAGCATCATTCTCTTGAAGCTCAGAATCCCTTGTACTTTTTACTAAATTAGTCAGTTAATTTTTGCTTAAATATTTCACTGAGCAGGATGCAGGCCTGTAATCCCAACACTCTGGGAGACAGAGAAAGGAGGATTGCAAATTTGAACCTAGCCTGGGCAATTTAGTGAGAGTCTGTCTCAAAACAAAAAAATAAGAGGGGGGGTTACTGAAGGGAGGTGGTGGTCGGGAGATGTGGCTTAGTGCCACGCCCTTGGGTTTAACACCCGGTATTAATAAAGAAAGAATACATTTTTAAAAAATGTATTAACACCCAGTATTAATAAATAAAGAATACTTTTTTAAAAAACCCCACAAAAACAAACTCATATGTGACCTGGAGCCCCTATCAACTAACCATCTTTTTAAAGCCCCACCTTTTAATACTATCAGATTTTTCCAGCTCTAAAGATGAAAGTCTAAAATGAGTGTGCCAACATAGGTGGATTCCCTTGAGGGCCCTCTTTCCTGTCTCCTCACATGGGGGAAGGTCATCGAGAGAACCTAATCCCTTCAGGAGGATTCCATCCTCCACCTAATTACTTCCCAAAGACCCCATTTTAATACTATTCCTTTCGGAATAGGATTTTAACACAAGAATGAGAGGTGCAGAAAACTTTCCGTCTCACATAGCCCATGCCCCCATCTCATTTCCAGATTGAACTGGGATGTGCTTCCAAATTTAGGTGATAGCTGGCTAGAGTTGCTAGATGTATGCTGGAGGGCCTCAGTTCCTTACCACATGGACCTTCCGTAGGTCACCTCAATACAACTTCTTCATCAAAGCCAGAAACAGAGTCTGCTAGTATAATAAGCTTTCATATAACATAATCACAGAAATGGTATCCCATTGCCTTTGCACTTTTGCTGTATTCTTTTGGTTAAGTAGGTGAGAAGCAGGTCACACTGAAGGAGGGTGGATTCTGTGGGACATGAACACCAGCAGTCAGATCACTAGGAGCCAGCCTAAAACTTGATCATATTACTCTCCAGGAGCTTCAAAAGCTTCTTCAATTCAGACCACATGATTTACCACCAAAAAGCTTCATTGTTAATTTAATCCTCCAATTAAATTGGAATTTCCATGTCTTATTTTGATACCTCCTATCTGAAAACTAAGCACACATATAAATTTTCATATATTTTGTTTTTTATTTAAACACTTTTTTTTGTGGTGTTGGGGAACAAACCCAGGGCTTCTTGCATGCTCGGCAAGTGCTCTGCAATGGGGCTACACCCCTGCCCTTCATATACTTTTAGATTGAATTTAAAATGACTGCAAGCTGGAGTTGCCCTCTTCCTTTTTTTTTTTTTTTTTTTGGTACCGGTGAATCAAACTCAGGTCCTTGCGCTTGCGCAGCAGGCAGCGAAACCACTGAGCTAAATCCCCGGCTACCTTCTTCCTTTTGAGAGAACCAAGTGTTACATTTTCAGGAATTTGGGGAGTCAACTGACGAATTGATAGATGAATGGGTATCACTTTAAGGAAATCAGCAAACTCAAGAGTCAGGACTCTTGCTGCTGTCAGAGAGGCAGCTGTTAAACACTGACCAGCCTAAACAGATTGTTACAAATCTGTCACACTGATGAGAGTGAAATGTTGAAGGGTTGTTTTTTTTGTTTGTTTGATTGTTTATTTTGTTCTGTTTTTGTGGTGCTAGGGATTTTTTCTTTATTTTTTGAATTTTAATTTTTGCATTAGCACGTTTGCAGTATGCAATGTTGGCAATCCTTGAGGGGAGGTGGTACATGTATATAACACATCTTAATTCTGTTTTTTCTTTCTTTTTTTTTTTTTTTTGGTGCCGGGGATTGAACTTGGGACCTTGTGCTTGCGAGGCAGGCAGCGGAACCACTGAGCTAAATCCCTGGCCCTTAATTCTTTTTTTCATCCCCTTCCCCATTTCTCCCTCCCCCTTTCCTCCATCCTTTGGTCCCTTTCCCATTTGAGAAAGATCTATCTCCCTATCCATTCATCTGTTGATGAATACATATGTTGCTTCCAACATTTAGCTATTATGAATTATGCTGGTATAAACATGGATATGAATATATCACTGTAATATGATGTCTTCAACTCTTTTGGGGAAGATACCTAAAAGGGAATAGCTAGGTCAAATGGAATTTCTAGTTTTAGCTTTTTGAGGTATCTCCATACTGATTTTCATAATGGTTGTATTAGTTTACATTTCCACCAACAATGTAGAGGGGTTCTTTTTTCCCAGAGCCTCACCAGCATTTGTTATTATTTGATTTCTTAATGACAGCCATTCTTTCTTGGGTAAGGTGAAATCTCAGTGTTGTTTTAATTTGCATTTCTTTAGTAGCCATCGATGTTGAACATTCTTCATGTATTTATTGGCCATTTTTCATCTCTATATGTTGTAGGTATTAGTCCTCTGAGTGAGATTAGAGACAAGGTGTGGCTTAGAATGGCTGGGAAGAGACGCATGATGGGATCTCAGGATCTACACAGCAGCAGCTCTCATAAGAGTCCCTATGTAAAGCTTCTCGTAGGTTCTCATGAGATGTGGATGACATGTAAGGACACAGACAGCACAAGGAGCCTGCTATGTGTCTCTTTCACGGTAGCCTGCCCTGTGTCTTCCAGACCAGGGTGTACTTTTATTTTTTGCTTTTCTCTTTTCCTCTCTTGTTCGACCCAAATTTCCCTGCAGAGCCAGTTCCTCTCTCACCCCTCATGTTTTTTTTTTTGTACCGGAGACCGAACTTGGGACCTTGCACTTGCAAGGCAGGGAGCAGCACCACAGAGCTAAATCCCTGGACCCACCCCTCACTTTTTCAAATAAACTTTTGGCACTATTTTTGGCTTGTCCTGTTCAATTCTTTGTTCAAGGCGAGAAGGACCTGGAATATGCTTAATTGGCAAGCCATTTCTAAAAGGAGCTAACCAATAATATGAGGAATAGCTGGCAAATTTTTTTTCCCATTCTATAGGTTGTGTTTTTATTCTGTTGGTTGTTTCTTTTGCTGTGAAGTAGCCTTTTAATTTGATATAATCCCATTTGTTGATTCTTAATACTATTTCCTGTGCAATTTGGGCTCTGTTCAGAAAGTCCTTGCCTACACCTATAACTTCAAGAGTTTTACCTATTTTATCTTCCAGTAGATTAAGTGTTTCTGTTTTAACATTTTTAATCCATTTTGATTTTAGAGGTATGGAGAGATATGGAGCTAGCTTCAATCTTCTGCACGTATATAGCCAGAT